AGAGAGAGAGAGAGAGAAAGAGAGAGAAGAGAGAGAGAAAGAGAGAGAAAGAGAGAGAGAAAGAGAGAGAGAGAGAGAAAGAGAGAGAAGGAGAAAATGAAAGAGGTGAAAGCTTTTCTTTAGAATCTCCAACAGTACTTCTCCGCCCGGATGGATGGAAACACATAATCTTACTAGTATACCCAGATACTCTGTAAACACGTTCAAGTGTCTGGCATCTGCCGACAGATCTGACCGATAGATCTAATTGGGATCTCTTTGAGCTCTGGTACCGTGAGATGGTTATTACAGCTGGTCTTGTCGTCCTGAAGTTTATCCAAAGGGAAAAGAATGCTTGGATTGACATAAGAGGTCTATCAGTTATCTTAAATATCTTAAATAGGATATTTATAGCGGCAATATACAATACACGAGGCGATTTTTTAGCTTCTCTTTGTTTTGTTACTCTCAACAACACCTTTATAATTGTTGGCACTTGTATGACTTATTTGTGTTGCTAATGCTGTACAACGCTTACATAAACTAAATTATGGTCTCTTCACCCTCCCTCCCCACTCCCCGCCCACACCCATCTCAACCCAACCATCTTCCCTCTCCCTTTGTCCGATACCCACCACTCACCACTGGTCTGCAGAGCTTGGTCATCATTCCGAAAAGTCAACAATGCGCGCGTCTCGAAACATGAAACTGAAATAACTTCCCTAAGCTGGCAAAGCTTCCGCGACGTATGTCTGTCACTGCCACCTGGCGGCCCGTGCGTGCGTGAGGCGTGAGTAACGCGCATGATTTGTCTGAGCCACGGCACGACTGTGCTGACAGATGATGGGAGATAGTTCTGGATAGTTCGTCCTAGATAGTCTTTTTCTGACTACGTCTATCACGGATTCCAGGCTTTCTTGCTTCTTGTCGACCCATGTCGCGATGAACGCACACCTAGACAAAGGTACACCCACTCGTCCGACTTGTCTACTCTGATGGGGGGAAAAGGGGGGGGGGGTTACACATCAAACATGGGTCAAGGCCTAGACGCTCAGAATAAAAACATATAGAGGTCAATGCTGTATATTAAACGGGATTCAGTAAGACTCACACTTACTCTTAGAGACTTGCCGATGCTTTTGGTTCATCGCTATTGCTCGCAAAGTTCCAATCTCGCTTGCGGAAAAGTTAATTGTTTTGTAAATCTCCGTCTTTTCACTGGCTACACCAAAAGACAAGCAATGTACCATACACAGCCCAGATTGGCCCGACAGACAGGAGTAAAGCAGCACGCCTCTTGAATTGTCTTTTTGTGTCGAAGAGTACGTTATTTAATCAATCAACTTTGACCTCTGACACATTGTTTTTTAAAATACGCGCCAGCTTGAATAGAAGCATTGGTCACTCGTCGCCCATCCTTTCCACTGTCACCATAATACTATTCTCTAATGTGTCAATTAATAATGGGAAACGGTATTCTCAGGGGTGGGGTGGCGAAGATTGGAAGGCACCACTAGAAGGTGGTGTTTCTGTTCTTTTCTCTTCCGTCTGATCCTGCTCTCCTTCCCTTTTCCTTACACTGAATTGCCGTTATAGTGTGGAAGTGCTTCTCTATTTCCAAACATAACTGGAAAGTTAGCCTTTTCCCCGTTTAGCTTACTCTGTGTTGTTTAAAGGAATAACAGTTCAACTGCGTATAGAGTTCGACAGAAACTCCAAAAGAAATAAGCGGTGCTTTCTATTCAAATCTATTGTTTCTTCCCTGTCTTTCGTCTCATTAACTCTTTCTGTATACCTAGCACCAATTCACACCCTGCCTCTCTTTACACCTTTTGACTGTGTGCTGATAATTCGCGGAGGCGCAAGGATTTAATTTTCGTGAGTCTTTATCCTTGGTGCTCCATCTGTTTGCGAGTCTGCTGCTATTTGTCTCTGCCTCTAGGGTCTGCTTTATCTGTCCTTGATTGTCTGTTCGTGCCCTTAGTGTCATTGTCTGTCTGTCTTTTGGTGCTCTTTATCTATCCAGTGCACAGAACCACATTGTGGCCCCTTGGTTTTTTTAAAAAGTTTAGTTTAGTTTAGTTTATTTTGGTATTTTTAACAGTAAATTTTTAACTTTATGGAAAGAAACATTGTACAAACAAATTTAACCCGAGGGTGTCGTGCAGCAAGCGGGCTTTTCTTTCACATTTGTCTCTGTAACAAATATGTTGAGTTATTTTCCGTCTTCGTCTGTCCTGTCATCGTTGCCCTTGCTCTGGTGTCTTTCAAAACATGTTTCCTGCTTGTTCACCACCCCCCACCCCACCCCCGAATTTATATATATATTTTTTTTCTAATCCCCTCATTTCAGCGCCACGTCCCTGTCCACAAAAACGAGCAATGCCTACCCATTTTTTCCTTCTCACTTTCTTAACCCACTTCTCAATACTTTTTCCTTCTCTCTATCTTTTACTTTAGTTAACGTAAGATGCTACTGTGATCGATCGACTGCTCATGGTAATTAGTGGTTATGAATTATGCACAATCCGTTCACTAAGCTGCAACATCGGACTTTTAAAAAACGCACCGCTACTTCCCATTCGTACATTTTTTATGCGGTTTGGGAGAGGCAGGGAGGGTGTGTGTGTGTGTGTGTGTG